CTCTCTCCTCTCTCCTGTCTCTCCCTCCCTCCTTCCTTCTTGGCATCCATAAGGTGACCAGCCTTCTCAACCACATGCTCCCACTACAATGATGTTCTGCTTTATCTCAGGTCAAAAGCAAGGGAGCCAGCCAAACTTATATAGAAACCTCTGAAATCATGATACAAAATAAATCTTTCTTCCTTTAAGTTGACTTTCTCAGGTATTTTTTGTCACCATGGCAGAAAACTAACGCATCATGTTAAATAAAAGGGGAAGGAAGAAAATTCATAGCATATCCAAACCCTCCCTTGAGTGTGACACTGTTACCCTATGGAGTCTTTAGAGCAACTGATTAACATCTCAGTATGTCACTTTCTTCATAGGATACTCCTATGTTTCCAAAGAAATCATTCAAAACCTAAATGTTACCTTAAAATAGCATTTTTCAAAACAGAATCAGATGGTTTGGCTACTTTAACTGAACATTATTTCTGAGGCAGAGGAGAAAAATTTTGGAGTGGGAGAGTGACACTACCTACATACAAATCAATTGCTGTCTGTGCTCCAGGGATACCCCCATTATTTAAACAATGATCAATGATGCAATGAAAAATGAGGGTGTGGTGGTTTTCCAAAGGATGCAGGTAAAGTACTGGGTATGACCCCTTAGCATTCTAGATTTAGACAAGTTCTTAGGCCTGTATATCCAGGTTTGGGTCTATGTGTACTCCCTCTTATGCCTTATTATTTCTTTCTTGCTTATCATTTCTTTGACACTTAGCAATACAGAATCTATTTTGAACTCCTGAAAGTTCTTATAACAACTTTAAAAGGAATTTGTTTTGGTTTGGATCTGGGGTGTTCCCCAGAAAATGCATGTGATCCCCAATACAGCCAAGTTCAGAAGCAGGGATTTTAGGCAATGATTAGGGTTCTGATCTTATCAGTGCACTAATCCGCTTTCTGGATTAATCCAGTGGTAGCTGAGTGGACTACTGAGTGATAACTATAGGCAGGGAGAACATAACTGGAGGAAGTAGGTCACTTAGGGTTTGGCCTTGGACTATGTCTGTTCCTGCCATGTATGTGTCTCTCTTTCTCTCTCCATCCCTCCTTCTCTCTCTCTCTCTCTCCCTCCTTCCTTCCAGGCTGCCAGGAGCTGAGCAGCTTTCCTCTGCCATGTCTTTGCACCATGATTTTCCACCTCACCTCAGACCCAGAGCAAGAGAGTCAGCTGACCATGGACTAAAACCTCTGATACCATGAACTCAAAATAAACTTCTCCTCGTCTAAGTTGTTCTTGTCAGGTAATTTGGTCACAGAGATGAAAAATTGACTAGTAAAGTTTGAGCAATAGAGGAAGAAAAGGAAGAAACTTTGGATTGCTTGAGGTCTGAGTTGATTTTGCCTTTGCAATATTTCTCTAATCTCTCCCTCTTCTGAGGTTCAGCTCCAAGTGGGGCATTTTGCCTAAGACTCCACCCTGTCTTGTTCCCTTAACCTTTTGATAACTTGGCCTTGGCTAATGTCTTTAGTGTCTTTTCTACTTCATCAATCCTGTGTGCCAAAAATCAAATTTTTATTCTTTCTGGAATATTCTATACACTCAGAAAAAAAATTTAACACTTTCAATTTGTATTTTATTTATTTTTAACAGGTAACGCATTTACATGTTTTACAATTCAAAACAAAATTCTTCACAGTGAAAATTCTACTCTTCTCCTTGTCTCTTTGGTTCCTAATCACTGTGGTTTGAATGTGTGTCACCTAAATGTTCCTAGGTGAAGGCTTTGTCCTCAGAATGGCAGAATTGGGAGATGCTTGAAAAGGTGATGTCAAGTGGGAGGTCCTTAAATCATTAAAGCTTGCCTTAAAAGGTATTATGGGAATTATGGGACCGCCTTCATCCTCTCCCCCCACCCTCTCTCTCTCCTCCAGTTTGATATGTTGCCACTCTCTCTGATGTTCACTCCCTCCATTGCTATCCATTACCCTCAGCAGAAGCCAAACCAACAGGGCTCACCTTGAACTTTGAACCTCCAAACTGTGAGCTAAGTAAACAGTTTCTCTTTCTTTTTTTAAATTCGTTTTTATTAGTTACACATGACAGTACAATGATCTTGACATATCATACGTTTGAATCAGATGGGATATAATTTCTCATTTTTCTGAGTGTATAGGTTGCAGAATTACATTGGTCATGCAGTCATGTATATACCCACAGCAATAATAATGCCTATTTTCTAAAGTCAGTTGCTTCAGATACTTCACTGTATTAATGCAAAGTTGACTAATACAGTGATTTTCCTCCTGAAATGCAACCAAAGCTTCCAGGTTTTTTATGTTTTGCTATGTCCTGTGCCCAAAGGCTACAGACTTAATATCAGATTTCTCCTCCTCTAACACTAAGGGTCAAAGTCTGGAAATAGAAAAAAAACCAGAAAATTATGAAGAGATTATTTTGATTGTGGGCTTCATAAGTAAACAGGAATGAACCAGATTGTGGAAAACTTTGAATTTAACTCTTTTGAACAGATGCTATTTAAAATTATTGTTTGGTTTCCTTTCAATTGTTCCTTTCAAAATATGAATAAATTATTCCATTATAAAGGAGGCATACACGATGAAAGTTGCATCCATGTGTTTTTCAGCCCAAAAATTGAGTTTCAGTGTCTCACTGAATGACTTAAACATTGTAATACAAATTCTCTTCTTACAGTATTTCAGTTTATTGTCTATGGAAACCTTTATTTCAGCTAAATGAACTTTTACAAGGGTTTTCTTAGATGTCTTAAGAATCTTAGTTTAATAACATGTACAAAAATATTACCTGCAATATGGTAATGAACAAAAAAAATGCATTAGCAGCTTTGCTAAACTGCAGATACAAATATCGAGGGAGAAATGACCACTTGCTGTACTTAGTTGTGCTGTAGGTGAAAAGAAAAAAAATGTCATTATCAGCAGATATTCTAAACCCCGAAAACATTAATAGAAAACTGAAAAACTGCTTATAAATCAAAAGTGGGTTAAACCCAAAATATGTGTATAAAACACTGGCCTTTTTCTAAAGGTATTTTGCCTTTCATTTAATGCTATTGTAATTTTTGTACATTTATTTATTTATGTTTATGTGGATTGAACAGAGGATTGAACAGAGTGCCACATACATACCAGGCAAGCACTCTACCACTGAGCTGTAACCACAGTCCCTATTTTGCCTTTTTTGAGAGTTTTCACGGTTCCCTGAAAATAATCTCTGAATAAAGGAAGAATGATTTCCCCCATTTTAGGAACTAAGTGCCATTAATATAAGAAATATGGTAAACCAAGGATCAAAAACCAGGGAGTATCATGATGTCTAAATACATTAAAAGGAAAAGATGAACAGCACCATGTTGATTTCACCGATTTATATCAATGATTCATTTATTAACTGTAAAATAT